GATGTGGTGATTTTAAATGATCTTTATGTCTATAAATGTTAGAGGAGCGGGTAGTAATGGGAAGAGGAAGGCGGTTAGAGATTTAGTTATTAGGGAGAAAGTTGAGTTCTTATCAATACAGGAATCGAAATTAGAGGTGGTGGATTTTCAAATCTGCAGAGCTTTATGGGGAGCAGAGAATTTTGAATGGGTTGCTCAACCCTCAAAAGGTATGGCTGGTCGTTTGATATGTATTTGGAATGTTGATTTACTAAAGAAAAATAGAACTATTGAAGGTGATAATTTTATAGGGGTTTTTGGATTTTGGGGGGCCTCTAGAACTCCTGTTTATATCATCAATATTTATTCCCCTTGTGACCTTTCCAGCAAAAGGGTTTTATGGGTGTCTCTCAAAAATCTCATTATTGAAACCGGTGGGAATTGGTGCTTAATGGGAGATTTTAATGCAATAAGAAGTGAACAAGAATGAAGGGGTGGGATGAGCAGTAGAAGAGAAATGCCAGAATTTGATGAATTTATAAATGAATGTGGCATAGTAGACCTACCATTAATTGGTAGAAAATTCACCTGGTATCAATCTAATGGAGCATCAATGAGTAGGCTAGATAGGTTTCTGCTATCAGAAGAATGGTGCCTTAATTGGGAGAATGTCAAACAATGGGGCTTGAATCGTTCATTCTCTGATCACTGCCCAATCATACTGAAAAATCAAATTATAGATTAGGGTCCTAAACCATTCCAGTTCTTTGATGCATGGCTGGAGTTCCCTCAGTTTAAAGGTATGGTTAGGGATATCTGGATGTCAACAGTAGTAAATGGATGGAATGGGTTTTGTTTGAAGGAGAAATTGAAGGAAATTAAGAAGGTGCTGAAAGTGTGGAGCAAGAACATGGTCTTAGAGATTGACTTGGGTATACAAAACTGCATTGATTCTATTGCTGTCATTGATAAAAAAGGTGAGGTGACATCACTAGCTCCAGAAGATATCGAGCTCAAAAGGACAAATTTCCTGGATCTAGGGAAAAACCAAAGGATCAAGGAAAGCATATGGCGCTAGAAAGCAAGGAAGACATGGATTAGCGAAGGGGATGCCAATACAAAATTTTTTCACAGATGTATGAAAGGAAGAAGAAGATTGAATGATATTACAAGCATCAGGGTGGGGAGTGAGCGACCAGAAGAAGTCAATAATATGAAAGAAAGTGTGGCCAACTACTTTGAGACATTGTTTAAAGAAGACACTTAGCAACGACCTGCCTTAGATGGGATCGAGTTCAAGAGGATTTCAGATGAAGAAAGGGTAATGCTGGAAGCACCATTTACCGTGGAGGAAGTTAGGCAAGCTGTGTGGAACTGTGAGAGCTCGAAAGCCCCAGGTCCTGACGGGTTCAACTTCAAATTTGTAAAGGAGATGTGGGATACAATCAAGAATGACATAATGGGTTTTGTAACTGAGTTTCACAAGAATGGTAAACTAGTTAGAGGGTTGAACAGCTCTTTCATTGTACTAGTCCCTAAAGTTGCCAGCCCACAAAAAATTGAAGAATTCAGACCAATCT